GGAAACACAACAGCCACTCGGTCTTGTCTGGGTTGAGTACCAGTTTGTTAGCTCTCATCCAGTTCTTAACGGCCTCAAGACTTCAATTGCCTTTGCTTTATTTGCACACCTAAGAAGAACATAAATGCTAGGACTCACCGCAAAGTTGCTTCTTCATTGTTGTCATAATTGAGAATGATCCTGGAATGGGGCAGTCACTATCCAAGCATTACTTTTTGGGGAATTTCAGCCCCAATTCCCTTTGCCAGTTTTATTGAGTCTTGTCTGCCTAGCAAACAAGAACCGGCAGCGACCTAGGCCTGCCATGCCCCGGTTCTGTTGCCTCCGCCATCTTTTTTTTTTTAGTTCTGCACATGCACAGAACAATTTTAATGGAACTGTGCATGCGCGTGTAGTGCGCTTACAGTGTGCAAACCAGCAGTAAAGCCAGGCAGAACCCACCCCTGGCACATACATTACCAAATCCCTGAAGGGCTCGCCTTGCCAATGACTTTCCTCTTATTGGCCTGGTCATAGATTGCTGGTTCAAAGCATCGACATTTTACCCGGGTCTTGGCCGGATGCATTTAGTTCTTGTGAGATTGCTGACTTGGGAGATGTAATGAAATGCAATGAAAAGCTCCAGCTGAGCCTTTCTACTACAGCCCCCCAGAGTAAAGTCTTTGACTGCACAAGCTTCATCCTCCACATACACATTTGGAGAAGGGAATAGAGGATGAAAGCATCGTTCCAAGCCCAAAAAAGAAAATGGTGGGGAAGAGGATTGATTGATTGTTTGTTTGATTGATTGATTGAGGAAATGTGGAGTTACTCTGATTTGGCATTGTTACACCCGTCAGTCTGCCTCTCTGGTTCTATTCCGGGACAGCAATCTTTTTTCACTAAGGCAGAGGGGATGACAGGCAATGCATTCCTGTTTCCTTAAATTTTTGCCCATTTTTTTCCTTGCATATCTGTTTCCTTTCCACTCAACCTTATCTATTGCATTTAAAATCTTGGACAATTCCCTCAAGCTTCCACGGTTCCTTTCTTTCTTATTTGGACTCACTGCACTGAGATGCCCTGTGGAGCTCCTAGGTAAAGCTAATGCCACTTGCTTGCTTGTTTGCTTGCTTGCTGAGATCTTGGCACACTAAAGAGATTCATCTCTGTAAGGAATCTTAAAAGTATATAGATTTCACCTCCGACCAGGACCTGCAGTATGTTATTTGTTGTTGCTGTTTTTCTTTAGAAGAATGAGCCCAGCCTAGGCGGCAATTCAAATGTAGGGTCATTTGTTGCGCTGCACTTATGCAGGTTTAGAAAGTTGAAAAATTGTTTAAGGTGAGAGGTCAGAGGGTGATATTGAACTGTCCAAGCTGCCAGAGAAATGCAGAATTGCGTTCACACAGAAACTTTTGTTCAGACTAGGATAGCTGGCTTCTTTGGGTCTTAAATTTACCTTCTTTTGGGGATGCTAACTTGCGCCAAAGGCCATGTTGCTTCTAGATGAAGTGAAAGTAACAAAATAGTGAAAAAAGACATTTTTGGCAGCATGAAATTAAGAGACTGGGCTGTACATCTACTGTGTCTGCACCTTTCAGAGAAAAATATCTGCACATCCTACTTTGATTTCTATCTGACATTGTGCTTCCTTGCTTAAGTTAGTCCATAAATTAAATTTTATATTGGGTGGAAGGTTCAATACGTTGAGGATTCAGTTTCACTGGAAGGATAGTTTTGAAAGAAATGGGTTGTTTCTGGTGATATTGCAGAAACTGGGAGCTTATTGAAATTTCCAGTTGTTAAGAAGTGGAGTTGCAACGTCATGTATAACTCCTTGTTCATATCTTCTGATTATTAGGACAATGCGTTGCAAACTAAATGAATTTATGCAGTTCCTTTGCATAAGAATTCAAATTATGTAAAAGAGTCAATTATCTTGACTGCTCTGCATATTTATTTTGGATCTTTTTATAGTTTTGGAATTGTAAGTCACTCAGAGTCATTTGAGATGGGTGGTTATAGAGACTGAATGAAAAATGAAGTGAATAAATAAATATGAGATATGTCTGGATTATATCACCATTCATGCTATTAAAATGAAGCAATTCCAGCAATAAGAATAATAAAATGTTAAGAGATGAAAGGGTACTTAAAGATCGCTTAATTCAGTCTAACCATTACTGCAGCATCCATGACAAATAGATTGTGACACCTCCAACAGAGGACAGTCCATCCCCTTTCCAGGAAATCTCTTCCATTGTTGAACAGTTCTTACTATTAAGAATTTCCTCTGGTGTCCAATCAAAATCTGTATCTCTGTATTTTGCACCCATTGGTCCTGCTTCTGCCTTTGGTTTGTTCTCAGTTCATTTTTCCACATCTTGGGATAGTCCAAACCAAGTTGGAATGTTTTCATATACTTTAAAAAAAAATGTTTACTTGTTTATTCATTGATAAAAATGGTTGGAAGAGAAATTACCATAATGTCCAATAAATGAAACATATATTGAAGACCTCAGATTGGGAAAGTCTGGTTTAAGAATTGGTTAACAAAATTATTTTATGTGTACATCCTAAAATCTTGGCAGAAAGCGCTTTTGTCCTCACAGGAGAATTTTGACTCTATGTACTATCTTTTTAAAATGAGAAAATATGTTTTAATATTTTATTATACACTTCCCAGAGTTGCTCTTCAAGGGAGATGGGCAGTTCAAAAATGTGAAAAATAAATAAATAAAAAATAAACAGATGTGGCAGTGTACCTACAATATTTTTAATTGGGCCTTTATCACTGAAGGGATAACATAGATTCTTGACACAATGCATTTCTGGCATGGAAGAATTCATTCTAATCATAGTACATATATTCTCTTATGTGAGGGGGGTGGAGATGTAATATCTCAGATAATGTATGTCGTCCTGCTGAACGGCCATCAATTTTAGCTCTATAAACTTGACACAGCATCCCAGCCAAATAGAGGGGGGGGGGGATGAAAAAACAAAAAAGACTGGCATGTGCTTCAAATATACTAGATCCCTCCTCTTGGAAATGTTTGTGTTCACAAAGGAAAAGGGAAGACAGGTTATTCACTGAGTTGGGGATACCGTAAATTTTTGGGCTAACTGCTAGATCGGCTGAAAAGGCTAGAAAGGAAACTCTTGGAGAATCCTAAGCAGATCTTTCCTTCAGATGAATGTGTATGTGAGGTGAAGTTCTGTTGTGTCACCGCATTTAGGCCATGCCTAGAAGAACCTGTAGAGAATTGCATTTAGCTACCCCTTCTGGATTCAAAATATTCATGGTAGATTGCGGGTTATTTTTGAAGGGACTTTCTTAGTTCTCCCGGAGAAAAGGGCAAAATAAAGATTGTTTAAGGTCTTCTGACCAGTGGTTTTTTTTAAAAAAAAATCCACCCCTACCATATTATTTCTCATTCTCTCACAAGTTTGTTGCAATCTCCAGATCTAACATATTTTTTAAAATGCCCAACAGAGTTAAGGAAGCTACTCAGGAAATGTTTTGAAATGGAGAAGTGGCAAGGAGGAAAAGGAAACCGAGTTCAGGGGAAACAAAGTGCTATTTCCCTCCCTGCTTTTCCTTTCAAGAATCTCTTGCGAAAGATGTTTTTATACTCAAAGAAAGGAGATTGGGGCTCACTTGACTTGCATCAGCACATATAACATATACCAAGGTCTATGATGCTGCTCATCAAGATTTGGTATTCTGAAAGCCAGTATACGCAATCATGGCTGCACTGCTAAGGCAGTTCCATTTTGTGTGTGT